ACTACTTAACATACCTGGCCATTGCAGCTCCTTAACGTTGAACACTGTAAGAAAAGACGTTCAGTTTTTTATCAATAGTTTCAAATTTAGTGCTTTCATTTTGATTTGATTTGGTGGATTTTTAATTTACCATTTTTGATCAATTTAAAAATCCAAACTAGAGTTTGGTTCATCAATTTTCTGATCAATAAAATTGGTGGCCGGTGCAGTCCAATTCTCAAAATCAAAACCCTGGACATATGGAATTAAAAATTATTTAACAAATTCATATATAATTAAAAAGGTTAAGGAAGAAATAAACTAGGAGAAAGATAGTGTTCAAGCTAAGCATGTGCAATTTAACAATTAGGATTCTCCGTCAATTCTGCTTTACAAATTGTCTGACATATATAATATAAAAAAATAAAAAAGTTAATAATTTTAAATATAATAAGTAATATAATTGGATCTTGGTTGGCTGCAGTTGGCTTTAATTTTGAGTGCATATTGTGAAGTAAATTACTTCCGCTTTCATATGAATGTATTATTCTTAGTTATGGGTGAATAATCACTACAAAAAAACATGGTTTTAGCGACAGAATTTTTCCGTCACTAATCCGTCGCTAATTCGATTTTTTAAAAAATAAAATAAAATGCCACGTGGCACCTCTACCAATTGCCACGTCATCACTGGGACCACCTCCACGTGTTGCTGCCACCTCACATCTACTGTCACGTGTGCTGCCACCTCACCTCCGCCTGCCACGCGTGCGCCATGTGTCACCACCACATAATTCCCTTCTTAAAGTGACTTCTCCATGGCTTGAACCAATTGCCACGTCATCACTGGGACCACCTCCACGTGTCGCTGCCACCTCACATCTACTGCCACGTGTGCTGCCACCTCACCTCCGCCTGCCACGCGTGCGCCATGTGTCACCACCACATAATTCCCTTTTTAAAGTGACTTCTCCATGGCTTGAACCAATTGCCACGTCATCACTGGGACCACCTCCACGTGTCGCTGCCACCTCACATCTACTGCCACGTGTGCTGCCACCTCACCTCCGCCTGCCACGCGTGCGCCATGTGTCACCACCACATAATTCCCTTCTTAAAGTGACTTCTCCATGGCTTGAACCAATTGCCACGTCATCACTGGGACCACCTCCACGTGTCGCTGCCACCTCACATCTACTGCCACGTGTGCTGCCACCTCACCTCCGCCTGCCACGCGTGCGCCATGTGTCACCACCACATAATTCCCTTCTTAAATGACTTCTCCATGGCTTGAACCAATTGCCACGTCATCACTGGGACCACCTCCACGTGTCGCTGCCACCTCACATCTACTGCCACGTGTGCTGCCACCTCACCTTCGCCTGCCACGCGTGCGCCATGTGTCACCACCACATAATTCCCTTCTTAAAGTGACTTCTCCATGGCTTGAACCCAGGACCTCCTCCGTGCGCATGTGCAGCTTTACCAGTTAAGCTGCAATGAACCTGTTGACTTATTATGTAAAATTAAATATATATTATATTATTTTAGACAAACAATTATATATATATTATTAAAAACTAAAAATATACTATATGATAATTTTAATCATAACTATTTTAATGAAAAAATAATTTTTAAATATTTGTTTTACTATTTTTATAATGTTTTATTTTTTAAAAAATATTTTTAATATAATTTTAATTTCTAATGACACTAATTTTGAATTTTACATCATAAATATTTTTTCATAAATATTTTTTAAATTTATTTTTTAATTAACATTGATAAGATATACAATTTAATTATATATATATATTATATTATATTATATTATGTATATTGGTTTATATATTTGAAGAAAATCATTTACAATTAGTCAAAAAATCTTGTTATTCAAAAAATTCAAAAAATAACTACTATAATAAAATCTAATAAATTATTCTATAGAAAAAATTAAATGATTTAAATAGATTATTATAAACAATATTTTTCTACTTGTATATATATCCTATGTAATTTATTTTCTTAAAATTTGCGACGGAAACAAATTCCGTCACTAATTTCTGACGGAATTGCGACGGAATTTCCGTGGCTAATTTTTTTGATAGATTAGCGACAGAATTAGCGACGGAATTGTCTGACAAAAAAATATTCCGTCGCTAATTTTTTTTGATGGATTAGCAACGGAATTAGTGACGGAATTGTCTGACAGAAAAAGATTCCGTCGCTAAATACGGATTAGCGACAGAATTTAGCGACAGACAGAAATTCCGTCGCTAATCCATCCAAAAAATTAGCTACAGAATTTTAGTCGCAAATTCCGTCGCAAATTTGCGACGAAACGAATTCAGTCGCAAATTCCGTTTGTTTCCGTCGCTAATTTGCAACGAAATTTGTTTCCGTCGCAAATTCCGTCGCTAATAAGCTGTTTTTTTGTAGTGAATTGAGAAAAATAAAAAGAAGGATTAACGTGCAACTTTATTTTAAAAATTTTTACTGACGAGTGTTAAGTACCGGAAAGTTTTTCTTTTCTGCAAATTTGTTCAGCCCTATCCTATACACGTTTGGAGATGTTTGAGCTACCTGACACCTTCCATGGTTCTATGGGGATTTGCCCCATTTCACCTTTTTTTTTCGAGTTTCCAATTCCTAACACCCCATGTTTAGTTTTTCTGTTGTTCTTATTTTTCATGTTTTTATTATGCGTGTTTTGTTGGGTTTTTAGGCCCTTGTCATTCAAACTCTGATGTATGAGTTGGGTTTAGTGTGTATTGAGGAATTTTTATACAAAAGTATAAATGATTCAAAGATTAAAGACTGAATTTTAACCTAGTAAAACATTTAGGAATTGAATTGTATTGAGGCATACTTGAAAGTGAGTTTTAAATGAGTTAAAAGTTTAAAGATTAAAAGATTAATTTTTTCTAAAATCTTTCATAATTTAAGACACCATTTTATTTTATAAATAAAGGTTATTTGCAAGGCCCAACATGACGCAAACATGCAATCAACCCACATAAAATAGGACTTGAAATTTTTATTTATTTTTTAAATGCCAGCCAAATAGGACTTGAATTATCAAATAAGAAGTACTGCCAATTATTTAATACAGATCCTAAAATCATAGTTTAAACATAGTCTTAAATCAAAACTCAGATTAGAAGAAGGAAGGACGAGGAACTTAGGGAAATGGTGTATGAAAATAACTATAGAAGATAATGTTTTTGATGATTTTCAGATGGCATATTTTGTTTGGCTTATCTGGAGGGGGAGAAATGCTGTGATGTTTGAATATAGACATTTGAATGCAACTAGAGTGATTGTGATTGATGAAGCTGGAAGATCAGTGAGGGAGTTTTGGAGCGCAAAAGGTTGGTTCAAAGAAGGGAATGGATGAGAAAAGGGAGAAGGGTCAAACACTAAATGGGTTGCACAAATAAAAAAAGGGAAGGTAAGATTAATTGTGATGGTTCTTGTGACAAAGAAACATGAACTGCAGTGATAGGTTTTGGTGCTTTTGTAGCAGAAACTTCAGCAGTTCAGAAGACTATTATTTTAGTCAAGGTACTGAAGATTGTGAGAGCTGTTATTGAAACAGATTGTGCAGAGGTGTTTTGGTGTTGCAGAAAGAAACAAAATCCACTGAAAATGGTGAATGGAAAAGGCAGATGGGAATTGCAATCTGTTATTTCAGCTCTAGTTGAGAGTGAAGAGCTTGATATTACTATAAAGTGGAGACAAGGGGTGTCCCCTATTGAGTGGGTAACTTCACCAACATCCTCTTTGGTTGCTGATTTTAGATGGTGATGAATATACTACTTTTTATACTACAAACTAAATCTTATATTTGAAAATGAATGTAATACTTTAGTTTGCTTAGTTTTTATAGATATGGGTTTTATCTGTATGCTTTGTTTCAGTTTATTATTGTATAGATAAACAGTTGAATATTTTTTTTACTGGACTTTTATAGGTATAGCTTTTTTTTTGGTTTAGCTGCGTGTTAGGTTGTGTGTGTTTGTGTATATTTTCAAGTATTTCTTTGTTTTAGCTATTGATGTTTATATTATGTTTTCTTAGAGGTTAATAAAATTGACTTCTTTTAACCTAAAAAAAAAATATTTAAGTCGTGGCAAAACATATAGGACAAATGACAAATAAAGACCCTAGAATAATCAAAATTATACAGAGGTTACCTGAATAAGCAAAATTACCATGAAAAACCTAATCCCATATTGCAAATATGAAATCTTAGTGAAATGTCTGAAATGCCCCTTAGCCAAGTTGTGATTTTGTCTACTGAAGTTGTCATTCACTAAAGTAAACTTGTTATTTCTCATAGTCAACTTGTCATTTGGCATACCTTTAACTAAGTTGTGATTTGATATACTGAAATTGTCATTCGTTAAAGTGAACTTGTCATTTCCTATAGTCAACTTGATATTTGGCTAATGGGTATTTCAGACATTTCATCAAAATTTCATATTTACAATATAGGACTGGGTCCCTTATGGTAATTTTACTATTCATATAACCTCTACGTAATTTCAATAATTCGGGAGTCTTTATTTGTGATTTTTCCAAACATATATAAAAGAAAATGACATAAAAAGTCAACCGAAGTTATTGTTTATATATATATATATATATATTTTGCTATAGTTTACGCACCTATTATAGATAATTCAAACTTACTATCTCACTCTTAAGAAAGCTTTAAAGGAGACATTTGATGTCATTTGGGCATAATCCTCATTTTGTTTACCTACTTAAATGAGTAAAATGCCCAAAGTTCTAATGCATCATATGGGACTTAGTTATATGAAAATAAAAAATAGGCTCCAAATTAAAAATAACAAAAAATAAGGGGACGGGTATTAATTTTCTCTAAATAAATTTAAGAACAACCTACTCCCAAAAAAACCCAGACCCCATTTTTGGACTGAAAAACCAAAACACTTGGTTGCCCAAAAACCGGATGAAACGAATCGAGCATTACTTGTCTGTTACTCTACTACCGCCTTTTGTCGAAGCTCTGCGCCAATCTCATGATCCGTACTTTTTCCCCTGCCTCAGCGAAGCCCCTTGTCCCTTCCTTTCCTTTCCAATCCTTCTCATTTCAATAACCTCTGCCCATTGCTTCTTTTCCTTACTCACCCCACACTTCTGCGGTCGAGTGAACGACGGTGAGTTGTTTCCGTTTCTATTTTGACTGAAATCAGTTTAGATTGTCGTACCTAGGGTCAATTAGTTGTCAGAGCTTTTGAGTTGGTGTTCTGTGTTATATTTATCACTTTACTGTCCGTTTTTCCTTCAAAACTTTTCCTTCGATTGATATGGTTATCGATATCAGTGGCAGCAATAAAATTATTGATTTGTTACTTCAATGAGTTGTTTGAAGAAACGTAATCTTTGTGCCAGCGTAAATCATTGTGTTGGCAATTGGTTTGATCAAGTCTCTGTACTTTTATGACTTCTAACTTCAGATCCTCCCTTTAGGTCAAGTGCGGGCGCCGGTCTTTGATTTGGAACGGACAATATCTGGCTTAGATCTTCTCTGGGCAAAAAATGAGAAAACGCACCGTGTATGCATGGGTAGTAGCTATTGTACTCTTCATAGTGCTGATGATCGTCACCCCAGCAATTCCTCAATCTCAAGAATACCATGATTTTGCCGACAAACGCAAATTCCTTGGTATGCCCTTTTTGTTATGGCTCCACCTCTTTATATATTGGCTGCAATTTTTTATTGGATTACTTGTCACCCTTTGAATTTGTGGTTAGTGAGCCACGTTTAGTTTTTAAACTTGTGATTGGATATGATTTAAAGGAATTGATATGAGCTGTGTACAAGTTTTCCTTGTTCCGCTTTTATCAAATTTGGAAATAAAAGGCTTATTCATCATTTTTCAGGCATTCCTAATGCACTTAATGTGATTTCAAATTTTCCGTTCCTTGTTATTGGTCTCATTGGGCTTATACTTTGCTATCGTGGATACTTTATGTTCAGGTATTTCATTCATCTGTTTTTTTCTTATTAAGTTGCTGTAAATAAAATCTTCTAAACATGGTTGTCTCTGTCAATGATATAATACGTCTGCCAAAAGCTTGCAAGGTGAATTATGGGGTTGGACATTCTTCTATGTTGGTGTGGCTGCGGTGGCAATTGGATCTTCATACTATCATCTCAAACCAGATGATAGTCGCCTTGTGTGGGATAGGTTGCCGGTGAGTTGCATCAATGTCCTCATCTTTTTTGCCTCTAATTATATTACTTCTGAGCCTTCAACTGCATTTTGCTGCAGATGACTGTTGCTTTCACGTCGATAATGGCAATATTCATCATAGAAAGGATTGATGAGAGGAAGGGCATGCTTTCAATTGTACCTCTAGTTTTGGCGGGTATAATAAGCATAGTGTATTGGAGGCAAGCCTGCTACTTTATTATTATCAGTTTTTAAGACAATGTTTTTGCTTGTCAAAGACTGGGATCTGATTATTATTCAATCTTGTTTTTTAAGAGCCTTCTTCTATAAGCGAGAACAGTTTCTTTACATGGATAAAGCTACTTGTTAATTCTGAAAATATAGTAGTCATACTCATAAAATATGCAGGATTCATTTGAGGGATGATGTCATGCAGTTATTCGTGAATCAGTCCAAAATGTGTCTTTCTGCGGAAAATAACTCTTCTTTACCTCCCTTTCGCTGTTTATCATGAAGGTTCTTTGATGATCTCCGTCCATATGCGCTGGTCCAATTTTTACCATGCATTCTGATTCCCCTTATGGCTATTTTGCTACCTCCAATGTACACACATTCAACCTTTTGGCTTTGGGCAGCAGGTTTGGATATTTCATATAAATATTACTTCTTTCAAGTTTATATTAGATGCCAACTGTACTCAGTTTCAATGAAAACGTTTGCAGGATTTTATCTTTTAGCTAAGGTGCTAGAGGCTGCGGATAAAGTGGTCTATGAATGGACTCATCATATTGTCAGTGGTCATACGCTTAAGCATTTATCTGCAGCGTTGGTTCCTGTCTTTTTAACACTTATGCTTGCCAAGAGGGTTATTGACAATGAGAGGTATTTTTTATTGTGTCACTAACACCTCTAATTGATTTGATTTCATTAATCTGACAATTTGAATTATGTGCTAGAGCACGGCCTTGAATTGAACTAATTGAGGGAATTAGTTAACTCAAAATAAGTTGACATTAGATTGGGATTTAGGATATGAAGCAACACTGTATATGCTATGACTGGCTCCGACTTTCTGCTTATCTATTAAGATGTATAACGGAGCTCATAAAAAGCAAGTTGAAACAACAAAGCACTGTATTCTAAATGGATAGAATTTATGTCTGGTTCCTTGAAAAGTGTTTTCTGTAAAATACAATAAAATAACATAGAAAAGAAATCATTGAAAGAACCAATCGTGTGGTACTGAGTTAAAAAAAATTACCTATTTGGGATGTTTTTCTTAATCAAGCTGATAAGACAGATGTAAGAAACTTTACCCAACAAATTTATGCCTTAACCCTCTAAAAAAAGAAAAGAAAAGAAAATAAGACCCAAAAAAACCCTATAAAAAATTGTAATATGTTGACTAACTATGAAAGAGTAACAAATGAAAAAATAGGCCTTGAACAAAGAAGTTGCACTGTTTACAACTCAAGAACAATGTGGCTTCCAGTAGCTTGTACAAGTATTGATACTATAACGGTAGTTGTTTTCACATTTTTCTTGTACTTCTACAGTTGTGTGAGGGGGAGCGAACTGCCCTAGAGGACCGTAGTGAATTAAGATTTTCCTTTAATTTTTTGTCTGTTTCTTCTATTCAAAATGTAGAAGTAATTATTGTAGCCATATTTTTCTTCCCTGCAGTTGATGGAACTTCCATTTTTAGAACCCTCGTTGCTTCATTTGCTTGACCATTTAATTTGCTGTGGCCTTTCCGTGATTTTGTAACATTAGTGGATATGCTCTTACCAGACCTCGTTTGCATTAGAGAAGTTCTTACTATACCTGATTAACAGAAACTCTCAAGACCAAATCAATCATTAACACGCATGTAAACATGATATAAGCGGGTCATCATCCAAAGTTTATTGATATGCTTATCTTACCTGCCTGCCTATTTACTCAGAAAATTCTCTTTGCCTTATTCTGTATCTATGATGAATCTACAATCTTCTTGTCGTTTGATTGGTGAGGGCTGCATGTAGGCGAAGTTTGCTTCAAGTGTGGAGGGTTTACTGGAGCAAGGTCCAAGTAGGAAAAAGAAATGTTGAGAACCACACATCCTCATACTCGGTTGTGCAGGCTGTGGAATCTGAACAGTAATGTCATTTCTGTACTCTCCTACAGAAAAAAGATGAGATTATACTGGATTACATAACAATGTTGTTATTGTTACAGTTACAGCTGAATGTGGGCCCTTTGTGTGGACCGAAAGTGTGGATCCATTGAAACAAACCACATCTCGCTAATTTTGGTGCAATACATAACATTCACTGGATTTAACTTCAGCAGTTTGTATAGTTTCTGATATGTGATGTATAGATCTAATCAAATTGATATGAATGCTTCTGAATGAATGTACCTTCTGTTTCTTGCTGGTACCAGTCTATGATCACCCTTCAAAACCCTTGTTTACCATTGACGCATCTAGAAACTTTTGGTTGTAGCAAAATATCTAGAAGTGAATTGTAGCATTTTACTGATTGTATTTCTATCACTTGTTGTCTTGTGAATAATAATCTGACGTAAATCTCCGAAGTGTATTCTCATGTTTTATTTGTGAAAAATTGACCTTTTGTGTTAACAAAGATCCTTTTGTTGACGACGTCTCATAATTTAATATAATTTTTTGTCTGGTTCATTGGTATAAATAATAATATTTTGTATGTTAGTGACAACTTAATTCAGTAAAAATGACAACCTTGTTATGTGATTTTCACAACTACCCAATTGTTATTGACAAGCATGTGGTAAGCCAATGAAAAGTCAAGGTGCATTTACGTACAAGTCATCAACAATGCTTAGCTTGATCACTTGTATGATGTTTATTGTAGGGTTACGCCATTGGGGGAAGTTTGTCCTTCTGCTATGAACCAGTAATTTATTGCAAATGTTAAGGTGTAGCTAATGGCAAGCGGAAAACATCAGTCCAGTATAATAAAGACAATTCACGATGGCAAACCAAATAACAAAAGACAATTTACAGAAATTAAAGCATACACTTGAAAACTTTTGCTTTGTCAGATGACAGTCTTACTCAAATTATATGAAAAAGCTCATGTTTACTTCAGTCCATAATGTAAATTATTTTAATTAATTTATCAGAATCAAAAAGTATTTACTACCTCATTAAATTTGTCTAATTAAAATTTTTCTTATTTTATTTATATGAAATGACACTGTGAAAGAGAGAGAAAAACAAAAAGAATTATATTAAATATTAATTGTAAGGATAAAATTAATAAATAAGTATTAACTACTCTTTAAATGATTTATATTGTAGACCATGAAATTTTTGTAGAAATGACGTTTTTTTTGGCCAACAGAAATAGTATAGATAAGAGGAAGTATTTACAATGATTTGTCAAATGGCAAGTCTGTTAACATATATAGCTTGCACATTTTTAAATTATTTTATATTATCATATATAATTTAATTTAAAAGTGGGAATATAATACATTTATGGATTCCGAAAAACTATAAAAATTTGATGAAAAAATTATTGAAACTTGATTAACAATACTACCTTTAGTCCTTAATATAAGACCTTGTTTAACTTTTATTTTTATCCTAAATATAAGACCCTAATCCACTTTGTCTCTCATATTTATACATTTTTTCCCAAAATAGCTCTTCTAACAATAATAGTTCTAGTCAATACACTTGATTAGCAAGGATATTTTAGGAATGAAAACACCTATTTATTACAAATAACTAATTTAACTTACTTCCTTAATCTCTTCAAATTAGTCAATTGGGTCTTATAATTAGGACCGGAGATAGTATTATGAGAACATACATATAGGTGACAAAATAATTTTACAGAATTTAAAATAAATATATAAAAAAAGTTTTGTTCGACTTATATAAATTTTGTTTTTGGTACACGTGGACCTTCCAAACACCCCCACCCCTTGGAGAGTGAAGAAAATGACAAAAATGCCAGATAGAGGGAGAGATTGACACAAGGCCCTGCAAGTGCGAATGTTGAGGATGCATCAATCACAGATGAATTGCTCGAGACTTTGCTTCACTCAACCAAACTCCGCCTTCTTTCCATGGCGTCCCTCTCTATCGTCAAAGCCTTCCCTTCCACCAAACGGTGCGTTTTGGTTGCAGAAGCCCGCGACCCTCTTGAACAAACCGTTATCTTCATCCAATTCCATCCCCAGTAAGCTTCATCCTGCTCAAGCTTCGTCTTTTGACCTTTCTCCTCCTCCCATCGACCATGATTTTCTGGTGATTCACTCTATCCAACTTCAAAATCGCCATGTTTTTTTGCTAATTTTCTCCTACTATGTATTTGTGTAATATCATCATGGGCTGTCTTCTGGGGATGTTTCTGAAATTCTAGCTTGATTGGTTCTTTGCAGGATACTGCGAAAAGTGCAGGGGCCAAGGTTTCGGAGGGAGGAGTAATTGAAACATTTCATAATGATGATGAAGCACTTGATGCAGTGGACAATGGCTCTGTGGTGCGTGCCTTTGTTTGGCGTTTAATGTTCATTCTCTTCAGTCTTCCCAAGCTACTTCAGTCGTTTCTAACACTTATCTTTTTTTTTTTTTTTTTAATTTTGGTCCTTCACACTGTCTTTCATGCTACCCCATGGAAGTTTTGTACGAGCTAATGCAATTTTGGAAGTCAAATATTTATGTGCGTGTTCAGCAATTTATCTTTCAGTAATGTAGTACCTTTTTGGTGGCTTAATTTAACTCTCCATGGCATCTAATGGTGTAGGTTGTGGATCTTTCACACTTTGGCCGGATAAGAGGTACATATTTTTCCAGTGCTTTACATTATTATTTGACTATCTTAACTCAACTTTCACAGTATTATATTTTCCTATTGTAAAAGAATTCTGATTTTTTTTTGTTTTTCAATCATATTGGGATTTCTGCAATTAAAATTAAAGTTGTTGCAAAGTTGTGCAAGGAACTGCACAGAAAAAAAGTATACAATCTCCTTTTATCTAATTTAATTTAGGTCTTCTAGTTTTGTCTTTGAGATTCAAAAATTTATATACTCTGAGGGCTTTGCATTCGGTGCATCTATTGGACATTGATTTCTTAATATTTCCTGCAGAAGTCGCCAGCTAGAAATTGATGTTAAGAATGAGCTGTATACATGCTTATGAGTAGAATGTAGTATACTTTTTTTTAATCCTTTTTCAATATTTTTCTTTATCTCCTTTGTGACAAGAGCCTGATTCTTGTTGCCAAAAAAAAAAAAACAAAGGAAGAAAAGAAAAGAAAAACATAGTTTTTATTTCCACTGAAGATGAATAATTTTGAATAGTAAATTGTCTTTTTACCACCTCATCATCATTTACGTTCAAATGCAGCATGTGATGTTTTGATTTTATTCCATGTGTCCGTTATAATTGAATGGTGATTCTGGCAAAATTATACTATTGGATGGTGATTACTTTATACCAGGGATTACTTAAATGAAAAAAGTTAAGTTGGTCGTTGGAATTATAGGAATGGGATTACTAATAACATCTCTGGCAGACTGGCACCATCTTCCATAAAAACATTTTGGTCATGAAGCGTGGATAAAGCACAATTTCACCGTAATTTGAACCAAAATTTGATTTTAGTTTATGACAAGAGGGACAAAGATTGAACTTTTGTCTGCTTGGTCATATTGGGCCTGATAGTATGCCAAGGAGTAAGCTTATGCTATTAAATCAAGGCTTAGAATTGGTTATCCTGAGAATAGTTTCAACATTTGAGTTATCTATATATCAAGCGACCAATAAGTAATGGTTATCTTGTAGCGTTTGCTTACCCTGTTTTTGTTGGTTCGCATGAAATGAAGTCAGTGGACAAGATCGAATTCAGTTCCTTCATAACCAGAGTACGGCAAACTTTGAATGTCTACAGCCAGGACAAGTATGCATTGGAAGAAAGTAGTATTGTTTGCTTTCATTTATAGATTGTTTGTCAGTTCTTGTCAATTTATTCTTATTTATTATTATAATACAGGCTTAAGTAATAGGGTTTCTATCTGAAATCCCTAGGGATGTGACACTGTTTTTGTAACACCAACAGCTCGAACAATAGATATTGCTCATGCATGGGTTATGGTAATTTTCGCTTTTCCCTCCCTCTCATTTCATTAGGTTGTAGTCTTCTATTCAGGATCATATTTTAATTTTTTAATAGCTGATCACTTTCTCTTGTTGCTTTGACAGAAAAATGCTGTCACATTAGTGGTTTCACCAGAGACCTGTCCGATCATTACTGAAATGCTGAACAAGTGAGTTTATCATTTTGAGCTTGAACTGAGTGAAGGAAAAAAGAATAGAGAGGGGGAAAATATTTGTCTATGCTGATTTGTATTATCATATTGTAGAACGTGTGAACTTCATGTTTTATATCTAAATTGTAATCGCTTTTAGGTACATATTCTTTGGTGATAAGGTAGAGATTCAGGACATCACCAAGCAAACTAGCTTTTTTGTTTTGGTGGGACCCAATAGTAACCAAGTAAGAAGCTTTACCGTTGCACTGGTGCAATATATATTATTTAGAATGATTGAGTTCGTATATTTCAATATGATGATATAAACAGGTGATGGAGAAGTTGAACCTTGGGGATCTTGTTGGAAAACCATATGGCAGTCATCAACATTTTAGTGTAAGCTGGATTAATTTTATTATATCTTGTAAAGTGTGCACATTGATTATCCATCTCTTTTGTTATTATTAATTAGTCCTTGCAAGATAAATTAAACGTGTGTTTGAAGACTGACTGCATAATTTATGTGATTTTAATATCAGTTAATATATCTTTCCACCAAAAATGAAGTTGTATGTATTTTGTCCCCCGAGAAAGTGGGGGCTAGCGCCTAGCAGCATGGTTCTTATTATATGTTGACTTAGGGTTGCTTCATGTTCAACTTCTTCTCTACACATGCCACATGATGATATTTCTATTGTAAAATCTGCACATTTGCAATTGGCTTTCTTTGTATATAGCTGTCGCTCCTCCCCCCTCCCCTCTCTCACCCCACTTTGTGTGTGTGTGTGTGTGTGTGAAATCATAATAACTTATTATATATGGACCCTTTAGAGTTGGGCTAATGTTCACAGTGCTGAGTATGATGTATTACCCTAGTATCCTTGTCTGTGAATAAGATGGTTCAGGAGGTTGACTAGTTAATTCAGTACTCCATAAATTTCTCTGCCTACTCTATTTCTCTCTTTATAGACAACAACAAAGAAGTTCTCATCATATCTTTTACCTTACTGCCAGACTTCCAAATTTAAATGATTTAAATGTACTTGACTGCCTTTTATTTGAAAAAAAAATCCTGTCCAGATCAGTACTTTTCAACAGTACTACCTGATATTTAATATCTCTCCCCTCTCAACCCCCTTTTCCCTCCAAAAAGGTCAGAAACCTATTTGTGACCCAGGTACATTTGTAATTGACCAGGTTGATGGGCTGCCTGTTTCTATAGGAGTTGGAAATATCATTTCTGAAGAAGGTTTTTCACTGTTAATGTCTCCAGCGGCTGCTCCATCTGTCTGGAAAGCCATTCTTTCTCAAGGGGCTATCCCAATGGGTTCTACTGCATGGGAAAAACTACGGGTCATTTGCGGTATGAGATTGTTTAGATTATGTGTTTATTTTTATGTTATGTAATTAATAGTCATTCTTTTCACTTTCTTAAAAGGTTATATAATACTTACTATGAAATTGATCTCAAGGAACCTGGCAATGACGGGGAATGAATTGTTACTCCTGTGGTGATTCCCTTCTGGCATTTTCTAGTAATTTTCTTATAGTAAATAAAGATGGTGCCCGTTATGCTTTTAAGTGTAACTTGCATGCCTAGCTACAGAGGCATGAGCCGGAAAAAAGCACATGTATATAATGCCATGCCTCCTCCCTCCCCCCTGCCTAGCAAAAGACTTGTTGGGCTTTTCTTGATTTTTTTCCCCGAAAATTACTTACATCTCTTTTTGTTTTAAAACATCACAGATTTTCGTGAAAAATGAGGTTATGCGTGCTTGTTCAATTTTAAAATTTTCTACTAAAATTTCCTCTGTTAATAGTTATACAAATGATAGTATACGCTTCATACATTTCCTAAGGACCTATAATATAAAAGACAACAGCATCTTCTCATATTAATATTGCCAATCCGTGACTTTAAATATTTTAACAGTCACCTTTGCGCCTTTCTCTTATAGTATTTTGGCCAAAATATTTAATGTGGGACCATCTGCGTTGGTTGTAGATGATGAACTGAATCACAATGGTTCATGTTCTTATTAACTATAGGATTAAGCAAGTATAAAATGTTTGAATCGTGGTTGAATGGCTTATATCATTTGGCCAATGAGACCCAAAGAAAAAGAATTACTGAAACTAATTGACTTGAAATGGAAATACTTCAAATAGTATATAATTTGGCTTTATCGAGATTTCTAGTTTATTTATAAACATTTTTGTGCACTTTTGATTGTAACTTGACTTCTCAGGAAGGCCTGCTCCTGGAACGGAGCTAACTAATGAATTCAATGTTCTGGAGTCCAACCTTTGGAACTCAATCTCTCTTGACAAGGGTAACTGTTATGTTGTCATGATCCATCTGCTTAGAATGGTGGGACTTGCTGGATAGTTGGTCTAATTCTTGATTTCTTAGGCTGTTACAAGGGACAGGAGACTATAGCTAGGCTGATAACATATGATGGACTCAAGCAGAGATTATGGGGAATTCATCTTTCAGCAGCTGTAGAACCGGGCAGCACCATAACAGTTGATGGCAAAAAGGTTGCTATAATCTTGTTGTCATCGAGTTTAATTCTTTTTCTATCTCAAGAAAACAAAATGGAAATTGTGGCCATAAATAGTAGTTACACATTAAACCTAAAGAGAGCAGAGGTGTTGTGAAAATTCTAGTTCTATATGTTGACCTTTTCCGAGATTTTTTGTAATGAAACATATCAGGACAAAGAGGTGAATAAGTAACATGAATCAGAAACTTCAAATTTCTGATGTTTGCGTCCCTACACAGGTTTAGAAGTAAACTGGTGATTGTTGAATATTGTACAGGTTGGAAGGTTGACTAGTTATACAACCGGAAGGAATCAATCTGAACATTTTGGATTGGGTTACATTAAGAGAAATGCTGCCTCAGAGGGAGACAATGTAGTTGTTGGAGACAACATCGATGGAATTGTGGTGGAAGTTCCTTTTCTTGCTATGCAGCGACCACCATCAGGAAGATCCAATTGAGACCCATGTTTATTGAGAACATCCAAGATCCTTCATCGAACATAATATTCAATTTTAAGGACGTGAAATGTACATGTTATTAATGAGTTTCTGAGTCTGATGTGTCATAGATGTTGGAAATGATCAAAGTACACATATAATATATATATATATATTATTCCAGTATTTAAGAATTGTTGGCTGAGCATTCTTTCGTGTTCTTATTATGTTCTTGGAAGTTTAATGCTGCTAAATATTAGCCCTATGAAACATCAGATTGAGAACAAAACAAAATTATTCACAAGTCTATCCACCACCTTATCAGTTACAATCCTGTAGAATGCTAACAACTTCTTGCTTTTGTTCATCAGTCAATGTTTTAGGGAAGTTGATGAGGAATTGGATATGGAGGTCGCCTCTCCTCCCATTATGCTGGGGATCTGGCATGCCTTTACCTTGAATGACCTTCACATATCCAGGATATATGACAATATTCTCAAATGACACATTCATCGTTTCCCCTCCAATCAGAGGAGCTCGTATTAAACAGCCAGTGAGTGCGTTTACCAGGGGGATCTTAACACACACTACCAAATTGTTACCATCTCTGGTAAACAAAGGGTGTTCCTTTTCTTCAATTGAGAAGATTATATCAGCAGGGAGGTATCCAGGTTCCTCGTTACCCTTTTCCTCGAAGGTAATCTTCGTTCCTTTTCTCCATCCTGGCTTTACGTCAATCTGTAACACCTCGTCCTCTTGGAGGATAACCCTGTTACAGAATTAAGGTATAAAAAGTTAAAGAGACCTTCAGATTTTCCTTTTCTCAAGCATTGTATTTTCTGCCAAATTGTTATTGCTTCTATTTAAAGTTTTGAAATTTCTATCCTTATCTAAACTGTATACTCCCTTTCTGTTTCACGTAGTCCATCGGGCTAGGAAATACTTTGTACCCCAAAAAAATTCTAAAGAAAAAGTGGTAGAGAACAACCAAGATATGAGCATGTTAGAAATGAGTCTATACTTACATATCGACTAATTGCTAGTATGGTCCACTTATTTTTCTAGCTACAAAACTAAAGTTTCTGAAGTGTCTGCCATCAGGTTCTTGAATGTACATGAAATATGGAAGTGTGCACCTACTCGTGGTATTAAGCTGTAGTAAAAGCCATCTACTTGTCATATTTTTATCAGAAAATTTTATGGAAGTATATAAAACACCTCATTTTTCTCTTTTTTGTTGAAAAAGATCTACCAAAGAATTTTTCATTTGTACAAGGCCATGTAACAGAAACATACCCAGGGGGCTTGATAACGTCTCTCGTAATTCTGATCTTTTTGACGCATCCAAAGTATAAATTTTCAAGTGTGCACTCCAACTTCTTCTCTATTGGCATGGGTTTCCTTCTAACAGTTGATTGTGAGAATATAATAGGTGTTGTGGACCTACGGCTTGTGTCTCTGGACAGAGAGGCTGCAGGGATGTCATTTGCGGATGATCTGATGATGCCGGTATCTCTTATCGGAGAGGCTACAGAGCTCAGGCTTTGTGTCTGAGGTTCAGAGGCACAAGGTCTGGCTCTGCTTCTACTTCTTGATAAGGAATCTGCAGTAGTGCTTGAAGGTTCAACAATGGAGGTACCTCTTCTTCTGCTCACATTCCCAGATCTTTCTGATTCAGAGACAAAACTTGTACTGGCGCTTCTTGATACAGGGTTAGGCGTTTTGCTTCGTCTGCTTGGGTTTTTTGAAAGGTAACTTCTGGTTGGCGTTGGTGTTTTTGATCTTCTACTTGCATTTCTTGACAAAATTGCAGGACTAGTAAATAAATCATCATCATCTTCATCATCATAATGACGATTAATTCCTGAACCTGGAGGTGTTGCAGCTGACTCCTACACCAAATGCTATGTGGTGAGAAAATCTCATAACATCATGCCAAGGATTCAGAAACTGCTGGCAAAGGTTAAGATAGATCTACTTAATTTAATTTGGGTGTTTTAATTTTTTTTTATTTTAAATATACTCTCGGATTATCATGTCATATCACGTATGTGTATACATAAACTTTGTTTAATGAGTATTTTAAATATTACTAAAACACTTTCATAGGGTGTATAAAAAAATACCTTTAATAGAAAAATATATAAAATACTCCTTTTATCATCGCCAAAAAAAAATGCTCTCTTAATATTTTTGGTTATATATAAGAATATTTTAGTGATGAAAATTAAAATAAACCAAAAGGTAAACATTTAGGTAGAAAAAATATATATAGCTATACTATTCACAAGCCTGAGTCTTTAAGGGGGCTCATTAAACTCAAAGACACGGGTCGGCCGTCGGTGTTCACATTCAAATTTGCACGTAGAAAGATGGATTTTGGATTTTCATTTTTCTCGAATTTCATTAAATAACAGGTTTATATCAAAACCTCGGTGGTTCCAGCAAAAGTTCAAAGAGTTTTCTTATTTAAACACAAATAAATCAACCAATCAATAACAACAATAACAAGGCTCACAATTCAAGTATAAGTTTACCTCGGAGTGTTTCTCTTTGCGAGAACTTTTATCAGAATGCTTTTTGGTTAAAAGATTTTTGTAAACCTTTCCTATTTCTTTCAAAGACACAGTCTTTGGCATAAAAAAGATGTTGTGCAGATCCAACGTTGGTGTTCTTGGGGTCTTGAGAGGTTCTCCCATTTGCCAAGCAAGGAAATGAAGGAAAACTTGAGACCAGAGAAAGAAAGGAAGAGAAATAATAATCACCGATAAAGAAGCAGCTTTCTATGGCAAGAAAATCAGTTTTGAAATGTGAGATAAGGATTGGATTGTGTTGCTTTGTGATGCTCATAGTTATTGTTTTAAGGATCAAAACCTAAAATTGATTTTGTGGTTAGAATGGCGTTATCTCTAACAATCTTATTAATTATCAACAAGACGTTAGCCATTTTCTATTTTAGAAATTTGCTTACTGTGATTTAAAAAAAAAAAAGTAACTAAATTTATGATGACGATCGTGCTGCTATTTTTTTAATGGACCATCATAAAGGAACATATATATTTGCTATAAATGAGTCTTAATTATGGATGAGGTTTATTTAAAAATGTTTCTTAAACAAAGGCATAATTTTCCTTTTGGTTTATTTTCTAAATTATCCCTTTATATAAGATCTGTTGATAAAGTGGCTCTTGACCCATCATATCGTGGGTTCAATAGTTAAAGGATCAGACACTCTCATCAAAAGAGAAGGATTTGATTCCTAAAAACATGGTGACATTTGGGAAAACATATTCACAATCATGCAAAGCAACTCCTAAGTTCTATATATACACATATATATTTAAAATAATAGAAATTTCCATAGATTTTCAATAAAAATCAAGAAGTTTATATATAGTTCAGACACAGTTAAAATTTAATTTATGTTAGCTATGCTTCTGAGGTAATAGAAAATACATGATAACAACCCATGGATTTTTAAAGTATTATTTTGGTCAAATAATTCAAACATAGATAGATAGGGATGAGCAAGAACTAAATACAAAGGCATCACATATGGATGAATCCTTTGAAGCATCACAACAGATCGCTTCCTCTGCTTGAAACTTGCTTCTTGTACTGAATACCGCAGGCATTGCATAGGGTCTGTATTGAAAAAAAATGTAAAATATAAAAGTATAAAAAATTATAGAATCAATTAAGAATGTTTAGTAATTGGAAAAAAAAATCTTGTAAACGCATCAAAATAATCAATTGGTATAACATAATTGTCGGCCACATTTTCCATTATTCGTTTAAACTGGATTTCTCTCCATACAAAAAGCCAGTAATTAGATGAGAATGAATTCGGCTGCTTAAACAATATAATGTTTTTGATGTTATTGGCTCCAAATTAATCTAAAAAATTATACTAAAATTAATCCAACTATTTACACTATGTTCAGACTCTGATAGCTAAATTTTATAGTTTCATTGAATGAATATATGTGTTTTATTGTATATATATTACAAAAGCATCAATCTTAAACAGTGAGATTCTAATATAACGGTTGGCTACCCTTGTGTATGGATAGATTGCTTGAAAAATCAGTAGGAAAGAATCATTTGAAACACAAATTATATCTCCAAAAGAATAACAAAAAGCCATCATATTATATTAAACAAGTATAGGTATATGATCATGCTTAAGTTTGTTTACCTTTGGACCTAGGGGCCCCCTACGCCACATGGGAGTGTTTCTTGTCCGGCAATTGTAATTTGTACAAATTCGCCGATCACAGTTTGCCTCCGGTGCCCGGCGAGGGCGTAAGCTCCTCGGGGTGCCAGAACTGGTCGAAGAACCGTCATTATGGTGAGCTCTCCTCTTGTCATCAAAAGGATGGGACGGTGTAACCATTTTTGTTGTTGACGAAGCTGTGGTGTTGTTGAACATGGAAGCATCATTGTTGTCCCCAGAAGCAGGAAATGGAGGAAGAACAAATCCATTTGAATTTGAGTTTGCATCCACTTCCTGCTCCATTCACAAAATATGATTTTTGTTAAACTAAAATGAGTGTATGAGAGAGAGTGCTTGATAATATAGAGTTTCACTAATTGATATCGCGTATGTTTTTATGTATGTATTGACTATCATATAAATGTCATTAATTAAGTGGACATCTAGTATTTGTACCTCTCATGCCAGCTATGGTCTTGGAGTAACAGGGCTTATTAGTTGAGTCTAGCTCTTGCAGTATACAGACATGTACTACTATAGTACTGAATTATGTTTACATATTTATGGTTTTGAATTGAAAGTATGTATATACACGAAAATCATACTATACATTGTTTTGCATACTGTCACATAGACATATATACATGTTTTGCATGCGTGTGAAAAGTCACTTCAAGTTTTAACCGTTGGTTATTAAGACTATTGCAATGTCACTTTTAGTGTTGCATCATATTTTAAGTAAAGGCTCTAGGGCTGGTAATGGGACCAAAGGAAATCATTCTCCCTTATCTTGGAAGAAGAGAGCTATTATTTTAGTCTTTGGTGTATTTTGGTGGAAATATACTTGATTGTATTTTGTTATAAGATGTACTTGGTGTATGAATAATGGCTTGTTATATATTACCTCATGTCTTTAATATAAAAACTAAGTAACTAATTTGAGAATATTAAAAAAATTAGTTAGATTAATTAATTCTAACAAATATGCGTTGACCTCCTTAAACTACTCTCTTTGATCTTGTACATTGGTACTATCTCTCGTGGGAATCCTTACAATTAATAAGGATATTTTTTAAAAAAATATTATAAATTTGAGAAACAAAATAGACTGAGATCTCATATTTATGGTCAAATTCAATCTCTTATTAGTTTTTATATTAAGGACCAGAAGTAGTATATACTTATGATAATCAGGATGATGGTAGAGGCTTCCTTTTGTTTGTATCAAATGCAAGCACACCATTCTTCACTGTGCTTTGGTGATTTAATTTAATTGGTGACTAACATATTGATTTTTCAATTAATTTTGTTGACTTATAGCTCATATTGTCCTTTGATATGGATAGAGTTGTTTTTTCCCCCTCATAACGTGGGATGTGGGAAAACTTGAGGTAATGGTTATATATGATGCCTATGAATGGTGATAAGGGACTTATGTTGGTAAATTTGAGGCATTAGAGACTGTGTTAAACTTGTTTGAGGCTTAATTGGGTTGATTTATGTTGATGAATGAGAAGGGTTTGTTATGTGAATTATGGATTCCAAGTGGCCATTTTCAGGCCCTGTGAATGTTAGGCTAGATTTAAGGTATTTCTGGTTTGTTTTGGAATATTAATTTTGTTGTTATAGGTTGATTTGGTTTGAACTGTGGATTGAGGAGAAATTGAACTCATTTTATTTTGGCAAAAACATGTCGTTTCCCTTTTAAGTCCTCTTATTCTGGGCTTGATCAGTGTTTTGATCTTAAAATGAGCTCCAAAAGGCTTATTTTCCTTGAAAATTTAGAGAAGTCTTTTGATTATGAGTTTAATTTTAATTTATGATAGTTTTAATTTATTTTTTTCAAATACAGTTTTGAATTTTTAGGTGTAACTTTGATTTTAAAAAAATCATGAAAAATACAAAATTACACCGTTTCATATCCATAAAGTAACAATATTTATTACTTTATGAAGGTAATGATTAAAAAGAAAGGGCCATTTGCAGAAAAACACCCGCCAAACAATTGGGGGGGGGGGGAACCAGAGAGATTGACCCCCACCAATGTCAAAGATGGGTAGGGAATCCATAAAGTTATATGGCTATTCCCAATTTGAAAATATCCAAATATGGTCACTTTTGAAATTGACATTGAACAGGCACAAAAAGGGAAGAAAATTTTACAACAATTATTGCCTGAAAAAGAA